AGTTTCAGGAACTCATTTCCAAAAATATTATTATTATGATTTCATGAAAATTAAAGGAGCTTGAATCACCTTTAAAAGAATATGAATCTTTTATAAAGCACCATTTGTATTCACCTTGCTCCAGAGAAGTCACTGTCACATAAGGCCTCAGTAGGATGTGGCTAAATTTAGAGATGAACCCAACCTGACTCTGTGCTATCCATCATGGTAACAGATGAGTTTCAGGATGCAGCCAAACAGCTGCTGCACATCTCCCTGCTGCAACTGACGAGAGACAGAGGGATGGAGGACGAGCGAGACGTCCCACCACATCCTCTGCACCTTCCTACAATCGCATTTCACATCAGCTACGATTTATTGCATTGCTTCAAGATACCGGCCCTTTTGCCCTATGACAGACATAACGTGTGTGGGGGATTAACGTGATGTGATTAGAGGCTGCACCGCTCCTCTCCATCTTGGCTGTGAGGAGGCTGAGAGCCAAAACCAGGATGTGGCCTCGCTGTCCATCTGGTCCTCTGGCTAATCTGTGTGGTGTGTAGGCGTACACAAACACACCGAGTCCCCTCACAGTGTCCTAATGGCTGCTTCTGCTAGAGTAAACACAATAAATGGCCCATCGCCTACTCTGTTACTATGACACTGTTCTTTTAGATCGAATAGGCGTTTGTTTCCCTCCAGCTGTACTTTATCAGAGCAGAGAAAATATATTATATGATTTAAAATAACTATATATTATTTTTATTTTTATTTTTCACTACCAGATACGGATTCTGATACCTGGACTTTGCGTACTGGCCGATACCGATCCGATACCAGGCCTTTATTTTATCATCTAGTTTGAAAACAACCTTCCTTTCAATAACTCAAAATGCATATGGTACACATGCATCACACAAACACATCACGTGTGACTTCCATATTGCCAAATTGCTTACATTTCACTCAGCTCTGGCTAATGCTCCACTTCTGGAAATCACCTTTTCTTCACTGGTTTAAAAACAGCACTGTGGCTACAGCACAAATGCTGTTGTGGAGAATGAGTAATTGAAAAAGAAAATTCCTAGTTTAATGTGGGTGAAACAAATTCTAATGCTGCTAATAAAAGACGTGGTATCAGATCAGTATGTAGATTTGCGTACATCGTGTGCTGAAATTAATAAAAGACTTTTGTAAAAAGATGTGTTTTAAAATTGAGAAGTGGTGAAACAGATTCTGTGTGTAGAGAGAAAAGAGCAGAGCAGATTTAATAGGGTCCTTGGTGAGTTAGAAAACGAGGTCCTGCTGGTGAATCATTTTAGTTACTGAATCCTGCTTTGGGGAAACTGAGCAATTTTAGGATCAAATTTTGCACCTGTGTGTGTGTGTGTCCCCTGTTTGTCTTGTTCTGACACCATTATCTGTCTGTCTCCTCTGCTCTGGTCCCTGACAGGCAGGCGGGCAGGGAGGCTCCATGTTGTCCCAGACAAGCCCTCAGCACACTGGAATGCTAATGAGATGTCCTATAATAACGCCTTGTTGGAGATGAGCACCAAACAAAAACTTCCCTGCTGCTCCGTCCCCTCTGCTCTCCTCTGTTCTGCAGCGCTATAAACTCAGAGCGAGCACCATCCTTTGCACACAAGAATCTGGGTCAAACTTTGTTTTTCATCAGTAATTCCTCGGCCGTTGAATAATTTTTCCCGACTCACTTGAGGCCGATTCACCAGTTGATCGACTCAGATTGCATCAGGCCAGTGAACACCAGCAGTGAATATTAATCTCACTGAGCTAGAACTTTTTTTTATTTGTCCGAGATATCCCACTGTGACGATTGCCAGTGGAAGGATCGGCCTGAATAGTGAGAATTCATTAACATTTCATTTTCCTCTGCTTAATTACGCACCACTGGGCATTGATCTTCTTACTGGGGAGAGCACGACAGGGGGCCTTTCCTGTTTGCCGTCAGACTACCACAGTTTGAAGCTCATGGGTCATGTGCTCATATTTACAGTATGGATGTGACAGTACATATAAATAAACACACAAATACTTTAATATCACTAAGACGCAATGGTCTTCCTCTGTCTTTTTTTTGGTATTGTTCTGATTGAAGCACTTAGTCTGGACAAGGTGCGATTCCACGTCCCTGTCACACTCACACTAACGTGCCGCTCATGAAAGCGTAAATGTGGAGGAACAGGTAGGAGGGAATAAACGAACAGACCATTATTCCTCTGAACGAGGCGGCTGTATCACAAGTAATTGGGAGAGACTCATCAAGACTGATGCATATTCATGAGACGTGGAGTGAAGCAGCTCTCCGTTTGGTGTCCCACGCTCATTTTAATTGCAAATGGAGGGGGGGGAACAAAAGAGGCTTCAAATTTTCTGTTCTTCAGTGCGTTTCCCCGGACCTGTCTGTGACCCACCGTCGTTCAGTGAGGACTCGAGGGTTTGCAAATTAGGACGTTTTCTTGTTCAGCCTCTTGAGACTCAAGGATTTAGCAGTTTAGATATTAGTGTTTTCTCATACATAACCTTACTGATCATCTGAAATCAATGATTATCGAGTAGACATGTAAGAGTCCCGTCTGTGTTTGGTCTCTTCTCATCTAGTTTTTGAGTTTTTGAGTTTTTTGAGTTAAGATAATATGTCTCACCATCTTTGCCTTCCTCTTTGTTGTGTTTCTTCAGCCACTCAATGTTCTTCCTGATGGCCTCCAGATAAGCCTCCGACTTGCCGGGTGGATCTGATTATAAGAGAAGGAAGACATGAAGAAAATGAGTAGTAGAAAAAAGAAAACCATTGAATTTCCTTTCACTTCTTCTGTAGTGTTTTAACTCCCTGAAGAGCTCAGTTTCTACTTAACAGAAAGGCTGTGCTTTCTGAGACGTATCAATTATTTAAAATACATTTTCCTGAAGCAAGACTTGTACCTTATTTTTTTTACATTTCAGTTGCAAAGGGAAAATGTTGGCAGCCAGAACTGTACTTCCATTTTAAACTAGCAGCACAATGAGACACAGTGTGGGTGAATGGTGGATGTATATTCATGATATCTACAGTTTGAGATTTAAATTGACATTAACCCTCAATCAAGATGAGACAGTTGCTTAACCACGGATTAAATTTGGATCATAACACATGCTCCATTGTTCTATAAATAATACATCATGCAACTCGGTGAAATCGGTTCAAACACAGAAAACACTGTTTAGTTTCAACATTACTCAGGATTTACTTCATTTCCTGCTGAAACAAATTAATCCTGCTTCATGCTTCATTTTACCTTTAATGTGTGTTTGTGTGTGTCTCTGTGTGGATTAGAGTAATGAATGGCTACAGTTTAGAGAATAATGGCAGCTGTGATGAGTTTTCCTGTGTTATTGTGCTGGCCTAGTTCAGGGACTTAACTATGATTCACTCAAACTGCACTGTGTTGTTCATTTCCTGAGTGAAAACAAAATGCCTGAACTGAGACCTGTCCCTGAGGTGGGGTGAAGAAGATGTTTGCTGCTGAACTGATGTGGTGGGAATTTGCTACATTTGATAACCCTGAATTTATTTGAAACAAAAACAAAAGCACATCATTTATCATTTTTGAGAATCAAAACAGTAAAATTGTATTAGATTATTTCAGCAAATGATCACAAAGTGTTTCCTGAGGTCGTCAGGATTCGTTTGTGCACTGACTGGTCTCAGATGATGGCTGATCCTCCTTGGTTGAGTCTTTCAGGTTCTCATATTCCTTCTGCATCTTTGCGGCCTCAGCCTTGGTGTTGTCATCCTCATCCAAGATTTTACCTTCAGAGAAAAGGGCATGGACGTTAAAACATAAAACCTGTTGTTCAGGCATTGGCCGGAGATAAACATAGCAGAAGTTTGAAATATATCCTTATTCAATAAACACCCTAGTTGGACAGGATTTTGTTATACAGGCTAACTGTTTCCCCCTGTTTATGCTAAGCTAAGGTAATTGGCTCTCATCTTAATGAACAGATCTGAAAGTGGTTTATGGCCCTTTTCATTCAACTTCCCCAAAATGTCAAACTATTGTCAAATTATTATACTACTGAAATTGTGTTAACTTAAATTAAAAACTTACAACTGTAAGTTTTGGGGGGTCCTATAACAACCTCATGGTTTAGGTTTAGATGTAACACAAAAAGACTGACTCCCATGGCCTGTGTGTCATATCAAACTGTAATAAACTACAATAGTAACTACAATTATTCCCATTTCCAATTTTAAACCATAAATAACAAAATTAAAAACCTTTAAAAAAGCAGCTGAGCCTCAGTGAGTCCACAGTCGAATACTCTTAATCACATCTGATCAGGCTGAATAAAATAATTAAATTACAAATGATTTTGTAAAGGCTGTTTACCATTGGGTCCGATGAAGTCAGGCCCGAGAGACTTGCCCAGCTTGTTCTTGGTCTGCATGGCGATCATGGCGTCCAGGTTCTCTGCAGGTGGATGAAACAGGCCAAATATTTACATAAGGTTTGATCAGCGTCATTTCACTCCACTAACGATGAATGAAAAACCACTTCAGCCCCACGTTGTTCCTGTGTGAGTCAGAGAGCAATTATCATCAGAGAAGAGTTTCAACTAATTAAATAGAAGTAGGGTTTTAAGTGTGTTATGAAGTCTTGTTTTTTCCCCACAATACATTTTGATATTTCATTTATGCTTTATCAACTGAATGTTTTTAATCAATGATAGGAATAATATGCTGGTATTTTCCCTCCGCTGATCCATATGTGTCCAATCTAAATATTTATATCAACACTTAAACATACACATAAGAGTTACCTCTTATCTTACCTCATAAATCTTAAGCCAAAAAATAAAAGAAATAAAACCAGATTCATTTTGGGAGTGCTCAGGGTGTGTTACCACATAGCGCCTGCAGGGGACTAAGCGTTATTTTGTTTTCCTAGAGGGATTAAAAATATAAAAGACCTCAAAACAGTCAGAGAAAGAAACAGATCATTTGGCTCAAAGGGAGTTAAATGTCAGGATCTGTCAGGATTAGTGATGGGGTAAACACGTGGAAGCAGATGTTGTGAACATACACACACACCAGAGGTCGGCCGAAGTTTCATCCTCTGTTTTTCAAGTTCAAGTGAAGCTTTACTGTAAATCTCCATATTTCGCATTGACAGATTGATTTTACTGAGAATCTGTAAAACGGGTTTAAAAAACATTCATTGGGACAAAACGCAATTCATCGTAAACGGGTGATAAATTCATAGAAGTCTAAGTGTTAAATATGTCATTAACTGTTCAGCCTCTGCTCGTGGTGGATTAGTGATGCCTGCAGAGTCCTGAAGGGGGAGCTCTCGGCCACGATGCCTCATTATCGGTGAAGTGACCACAGAGGAAGAAGCACCGCGTCTGACACTCACTTCCGTTTCACCTGTTCCAGGTACGTCACGAGCACGTCAGCTGCTGAACCTCTGAACACGTGTTTATTTGTGTTGTGTTAACAAACTGACTGAAGGTTTGGAAGCAGGAGTTTGGAGCTAGCTGATTGTCGAACAGTTAGCTGGCTAGCTTTAACTCCTCCCTCAGTATCTTACACAGAACAACATGTGGTTAGCATGGCTGCTACATGTGTGTGCTTTGAGTGTTTAGCCCAGTGAGAGACACACATAAGGTAATATAGGCTTTAACTTTGTTTGTGTGTGTGATCAGTAACTGATGCAGCCCTGTTTTAATTTCTTACGTAACAGTCGATGAAATATTTAAATTTATTTACAAGACATTTTAGTTTGTCAATTCAAGTTTATTTTATTATTTAATTTAACATTTGGACAGAAATGCACTTTATTGTGTGAACTATTTATAATAATGGAACCTTTACTTTTTGGAGATACATTCTCAGTGAATGCACCATGTCTGACAGTCCTTATTTACATTTCCCATTTTTCAGCTACTTTGTTAGCGTGTTAGCATTTGAACTGTTGTGGTATTGGTGTTTTGTTAACATGCTGGCTGTGTGTTCATTTCTTGCATGGATTTTGAATTAACATTTATATGGAAATTCCCATTCTCTTTGTACTGAAGGAACTTTGTATAGTTTTTGAAAATACATTACCTGTGAAGCAACCACAGAGGAAACATAGTGTCTTAGAGTCCTTATTTAAATTTCTCCTTTTCAGAGTGTAACACTTTCCAAACTTTAAGTACATCTTCAAGTGTTCTAATGGACATCATTTGTTAGCAGTCTTTCCTATGATGAGACATTTTATATTCGTACAAACTTTATGTTTTACTATTTCACCATGATGTTGTTTTTTTAATTACAGAAGAATTTAACTGTTTAATTTCTTGTTTCGTCTATGTTGATATTAAGTACAGCTTTTTACATCTTTTTATACAGCACTCGAACTTGTTTCCTGTCATTTTATTTCTAGTGTTATTTGATATAAAGTACAGCTTGTTATGCAGTGTAAAATAAAGTGCAACCAAT